AACAAGGTGCCCCCTGTCGATCCCAATAGAACTCCGGCCGCGGACCCGATCGACCCAACTCACATGAGAACAGCGTCTGCGGGGGAGTCTGATCGGTAGCCCAAAATACACGTGACGGTGAAGGTGATGGAATTGACTTGCAGGTGATCTTCGAAATATTGCAGGCTCAACAGGCAACAATAGCCCAATTACAGAACCAAAGCCGCGCTCCCAGTAGAGTTGAGCCTGAATATCCCGGGAAAACACTCGCAAAAGTGAACCATCCACAGATAGGCCAAATGAAGTTGAATCCGGGACCAACCCTGAGATAATAAAGATGCTCGAGGAATTGACAAAACGTCTAGAAACTGGAGAAAAGAAAATCAAGGCTAACCACAAAAAGGCGGAGACCTACAACCCTAGGGTCGACCAAATCCTAGGAGCACCACCGATACTAAAAGGCCTAGATTCCAAAAAGTTTGTTCAAAAATTCCCTCCGAGCGCAGCTCCGAAGCAGATCCTAAAGAAGTTTCGCATGCCCGAAACTCCTAAGTACAAGTGAACAATTGACCCAAATCAACACGTGACCTCATACACGTGCGCCATCAAGGGGAACGATTTGGAAGATGATGAGATCGAATCTGTCGTGCTGAAAAAGTTCGGAGAGACCTTGTCAAAAGGAGCTATGATATGGTATTACAACTTTCCCCCAATTCTATTGACTCATTTGCTATGCTTGCAGATGCTTTTGTAAAAGCGCACGTCGGAGCCATCAAGGTCGAGACCAGGATGTCGGACCTTTTCAAGGTAAAGCCAAAATATAACGAGATGCTCAGGGAGTTCGTGTCAAGGTTTCAAATTGAATGGATGGACCTATCGTCGGTGGCAGACGATTGGGTCGTTCGGGCCTTCACCCAAGGACTCAATACTCGAAGCTCATTGGCCAGTTGAAGCATAATCTAGTAGAATATACGGCTGTAACTTGGGCCAATGTGCATAACCGGCATCAATCAAAAATAGGGTCAAAGATGATCAGCTTAGGGCCCCTTCCGAGTCTGTTTATCCCGTCCGAGCTAGTGACAAATCCAAAAGAGACATTGATCGTGAACCAAGTTCGACTAGAGATTGATATCAACCGTACAACGGTGATCATAGGGATAACGGGTCTGGACGAAACCCTATGAGAAGTGATAGAAGAAACGACCAGTGTCAAAATAACCGGGGACTCATAAGCAAAAGCGGTTTTGATAGGCCCATCGAGCCTAAGGAAGCATTGAGTTTATCGGAGTACAACTTCAACGTCGATGTTGCTGCCATCGTATCAGCCATCGGATGCCTCAAAGACACCAAGTGGCCTCGACCTTTACAGTCTGATCTTGCCCAAAGAGACCCTAAACTAATGTGTAAGTATCATGGCACTCACGGCCACAGAACTGAAGATTGCCGACAACTGAGAGAGGAAGTAGCCCGGTTATTCAACAACGGATACCTCTAAGAGTTCCTGAGCAATAGAGCTAAAAATCATTTCGTGAATAGAGACCCCAATAAGCAGATCGAGCAGGAGGAACCTCAGCACGTCATTAACATGATCATCACTAGGGTCGACGTTCCCCAGGGACCAATGTTAAAGCGCACCAAGGTGTCCATCCCAAGGGAAAAATAAACTCAAGATTACGTGCCAAAGGGAACTGTATCCTTCAACGATGAGGACGTTGAGGGCATCATGCAGCCACACAGTGATGCACTGGTAATATCTGTTCTCATAAATAAATATCGAGTTAAGCGTGTGTTAATTTATCCAGGTATATCGGCCAATATCATGCGATCGAGGGTCGTATAGCAGTTGCACCTACAAGACCAAATTGTGCCTGCAGTATGAGTTCTAAACGGATTCGACATGGCATGTGAAACCACTAAAGGGGAGGTAACATTGCCGGTGAACACCGCCGGAACCATTCAGGAAACACAATTCTATGTGATCGAAGAAGATATGAGATACAATGCTCTGTTGGGAGGTCATGGATTCACAGCATGAGGTCAATACCCTTAACACTACACCAGACGTTGAAATTCCCAACACCAGGAGGAATTAAAACGGATTTGCGGAGAGCAACTGGCCGCAAAGGAGATGTTTGCAGTCGACGAGGTGATCCCGATATCCACACTTTCAACATCAAAGGGTTCGATCCAGAGAATCAGGGGACAGGTCAGGACGACGACTACGGACTCCCCAGATATTTCATAGTCACTGATGATTCTGACACCACCAAATTAACGGTCGAAGAGCTAGAGCAAGTCATATTGATCGAGAACTTGCTTGATTGTAAGGTATACCTGGGCACAAAGTTAAATACTGAGCTCAGGAAGAAACTCATTAAATTCCTTATAGCTAACATAGATTATTTCGCTTGGTCCCACCTCGATATGACAGGGATCCCGCCGGAAATAACTACTCACAAGCTGAGTCTGGATCTGAAGTTCCACCCAGTCAAACAGAAAAGGAGGCCTCAGTCCAAAGTCAAGCATGCATTCATCAAAGATGAAGTATCTAAACTCCTTAAAATAGGGTCCATTCGGGAGGTTAAGTACTCGTATTGGTTAGCAAACATAGTGGTAGTCCTTTAAAAGGGGAATGAATTAAGAATGTGTGTAGACTACAAAGACATGAATAAGGCGTGCCCCAAGGACTCCTTCCCTTTGCCTAACATTGATCGCATGATCGATGCGAAGGCCGTCCATGGGATCCTCAGTTTTATCGATGCCTATTCCGGGTACAACAATATTCAGATGGACCTAGGCGATCAGGAAAAAATTCCTTCATCACTAAGTACAACACCTACTTACCAACGCCTAGTAAATCGGATGTTCGAAGAGAAAATAGGAAAATCAATGGAGGTTTACATTGACGGTATGTTAGTCAAGTCCCTACGAGCAGAAGACCATTTGAAACATTTGCAGGATACCTTTAACATCTTGAATAAATACAATATGAAGTTGAACCCGGAGAAATGCGCATTCGGAGTCGGGTCCGGGAAGTTCCTCGAATTCATGGAGTCCAACCGGGGAATCGAGATTAATCATGATAAGATCAAGTCCAACGAGGAAATCACCATTGTGGACAATGTCAAGGCCATTCAAAGGTTAACCAGGCGCAAAGCCGTTCTGGATCGATTTATCTCGAGGTCCTCCGACAAGAGCCATCTGTTCTTCTCACTAATTAAGAAGAATAATAACTTCTCATGGACCCCGGAGTGCCGACAAGCCTTGGAGGAACTAAAGCGGTACCTCTCGAGCCCAGCTTTGCTTCATACTCCAAAGGCAGATGAATAGATGTACCTGTACTTAGCGGTATCCAACGTAGCGGTAAGTGGAGTCTTGGTCCGGGAAGAGGACGGTACAGAATTCCCTATTTATTATGTTAGTAGAACTCTATGCAGGTTGATACTAGGTGTCCTCACCTAGAAAAATTGGCGCTCTCTTTTGCTAAGCGCCTCTAGGAAGCTAAAACCGTATTTCCAATCTTACTATTTAAAAAAGTGGAAGAAAATGAAATTCCAACAGTGTGTATGTAAGACAACCTTAATTCTCTATGTTCAACGCTTTGGGAAAACCAGAGCAAGACTTCTCTGTGGGAATACCAGACTATCTCCTACTTTAAATAGAGAAAATCCCTGGAATTCTGTGATGCTGGGGATTATGTCTAAAAAACTGCGTATTGCGATCTCCGCTGACGATCGTTCTTTTCTTTTCATAAGATCTATTCTTGGGCTAGAGCCTTAATATAGCTTTTCTCTTTTATATGGGATAATGCATAAAACCGAGCTATTGGGATGATTGTCAAAATGGGCCGTGGAGATCAAGGGGTACGAAATCAAATATCGACCCCGAACTGCCATCAAATCTCAAATTTTGGCACACTTCGTGGCTGACTTTACGCCGGCCCTAGTACCGAGGTCAAAAGGGAATTGCTGTTGAACTCAAAGACTTCCTCGGGAATCTGGACCCTCTATTGAACGCAGAGGGGTTCGAACTTGGCTTCGTGTTAAAGCCACCGATAGTTAATGTAGTTATACAATCTATTAGGACTGTAAAATTGACTAACAACGAGGCCGAGTATGAGGCTATGATTGCGGGTCTCGAGCTGGCTAAAAGCCTGGGGGCGAGGTGATCGAAGCTAAATGTGACTCCCTCTTTATGGTGAACCAAGTCAATGGGATGCTCGAAGTCAGGGAGGAACAGATGCAAACATACCTGGATAAATTGCAGGTAACGCTACATCAGTTTAAGGAGTAGACTCTACAACATGTACCTCAGGGTCAAAATAGCGAAGCTGATGCTCTTGCTAATTTGGGATCATCGGTTGATGATGATGAATTCAACTCTGGAACGGTCGTGCAACTCATGAAATCGGTAGTGGAGGAAGTCCACCCCAAGATAAACTCAACAAGCTTAACCTGGGACTGGAGAAACAACTATATAGATTACCTGAAAATCGGGAAGCTGCCCTCGGATCCTAAGGAATCGAGGGCTCAACGTAGAAAGGCAGCCAGGTTCAGTCTGTCCAATGACAACACCTTATTCAGGAGAACGTTCGATGGCCAGCTCGCCATATGTTTGGGACCGGGAGATACCGAATATGTTTTGAGGAAATTTCACGAAGACACTTGCGGGAACTGCTCGGGGGCCAAATCATAGGTTCGTAAGGTAATCAGAGCCGTCTACTTCTGGATCGACATGGAAAAAGATGCGAAGGAGTCGTACGAAAATGCGACAAATGTCATAAGCATGCACCAACGATTCACCAGCCCCGGGAGCTACTACATTCGATCTTATCACCCTGGCCATTCATGAAATGGGGAATGGACGTCATCGGTCCCCTTCCATGGGCACCCGGTAAGGCTCAATTTATATTATTTGTAACTAACTATTTTTCAAAGTTGGTGGAAGCCTAAGCATTTGAGAAAGTCTGGGAGAAAGAAGTTATTAATTTCATTTTGGACCACATAATATGCCGATTCGGAATGCCAACCGAGATCATGTGCGACAATGGGAAGCAGTTCATTGGTAGTAAGGTGAGCAGATTTCTCGAGGATCATAATATTAAAGAGATCGTATCAACACCCTATCACCCTTGTGGTAACGGGCAGGCGAAGTCTATGAACAAAACCATACCCCAAAACCTTAAGAAGAGGTTGACGGACGCCAAAGGGAAATGGAAGGAAATTTTGCCCAAAGTCCTATGGGCATATCGTACGATCTCAAAATCCTGTACCGAGGCCACCCCGTTCTCATTGGTCAACGGTGCCAAAGCGTTAATACCGGTCAAAGTAGGAGAACCGAGTCTCAGCTTCCGATATGCGACTGAAGAGTCAAACGATGAGGCCATGAGTGCGAGCCTAAAATTGTTGGACGAAAGGCGCAAGGTCGCCCTCGTCCGGTTGGCCGCCCAAAAGCAACGGATCAAAAGGTATTATAATCGGAGAGCCAACCACTGACACCTCAATATTGGGGACATGGTGTAAAGAAAGGTGACACTGAACACCCGAAAACCGAACGAAGGGAAGCTGGGGCCTAATTGGGAAGTTCCATAATGAATTATCGAGATCACCGGCAAAGGATCGTACAAACTCGAAGCAATTAATGGTGAACGGCTACCAAACAATTGGAACGTAACCCACTTAAAACAATACTACTGCTAAGGTATGACCCTATTCATTACTTTTGTTTACATATATTATGAATTGGACTAACGCTTGCAGGTAACGGCTAAGGAATAATGCAACTCTTAGGCCTGAAAACACGCGTTGCACTCTTTTTTCCTTGAACCAGTTTTGTCCTAAATGGGTTTTTCGGCAAGGTTTTTAACGAGACAACAGTGGATCGCACTAAACTTAGAATTGAATACAGGTCATGCACCAGAGTCGAAGATCACATCAACAATATCTGAACCCTCTCTCGGATCGGCCTCTAATACTGGGAGCCATCACCCTCGGATAATTATTTAGATGGGAAAGAGACTTTGCGCTCGAACAGTCTAGGCTCGGTGGATAGGATTTATTGTAAGGACCAAACGGTCAAAATGAATCGTGCCCACATAGACCACTTAAGCCATAAGACGAAGCTTGTACACATTTACAATCATGTATGTTGCACATTGAAATGAAAGAAAGTATCTACCTTGGAGATCATATTTTGTCTCTTAAAAACTACTACACTTTGTTCCTTAAGGACATCAAGCCCAAGGGCCACATCTATCCAGGTCCAAGAGATCACCCCCACTCGGGGACTGTCGTCCAAAACAAACTCGGACGGCTTGGATTGTCAAAGCCTGGGGGCTCAAAAACCTATTAGGCAGTGCCCGAACCTTAAAGGCAATGGCCAACCCCACTCGGGGACTGTCGTCCCGGGTAAGCCCGGATGGCTGGGGTATTGAAACCCGGGGTAATAAGCCTATTGGGCAGAACCCAAACTTAAAAGGCTACGGCCATCCCAAAAAAGGCTCGGAGATGTCCGAAACCCGTAACCAAAACGTAAGGCCTTAAAAATTTGTGAACCGATTAGAAGGCTATCCTCGGCAAAATTATAATCTAAATTTTTTTTAAGTAAGCACTTTGGGGAAAGCTTTTGGTCATACCAAGCCTCCGCGAGTCTTAAGCAAAATTGCATCGAGAACGAGCCATGTTCGAACCTCAGAACAAGACCTTATTATTACGTTCTAAGGCATTCGAAATATTTGCAATAGTAAAGAAAAAGCAAAAAGAAACAAGCTTGAAAATTATCGAAGGGAAAAAAGCAAAAACCTTGTTTATATACATATAAACATCTTTATAAAGGCCAAACGGCCTCAACAAAAAATACAAAAGTACAAAAATGAAGGCACCTAAGCCTGATCTTCGCTGGAGCCCGCCTCATCACCGAGACCATCAGGGTCTTCTCTGCCCTTGGATCCGTCGGAACCCTCGGAGCCTTCCTCGTCCTCAGGATATGCCAACTTCTTGGCCTCGGCCTCAAGCCTCTTAGCATTTTCGACCTCGGCCTATAGGTCAAAACCCCAGGTATGAACTTCCTCGAGGGCCTCCCTTCGGGACTGCCATTTCATGTATTCAATGATGTCTTTCAGGCAGTTCTGGGTTGCCTCAACATCAGCTTTGTACTGGGCCACAATCTCCTCAGCATCGGCCTTGGTTATTTCAGCCACTAACTTGGCTGCTTTAAGCTCCTTGTCAAGGGTATCCTGACCGGTAACAGCCGAGCCCAGTTGAGACCTTAGGCCTTCAATTTTTTGGGATCGGGCCTCGGCTTTCTCCCTCGCCGCTCGATGTTGAGCCTCGACCGAGGCCAGAGCTCCCGGGTAGTCTCTTTTCCGAAGCCAAGCGATCCATCTTGCTTTTCCACTCTTCAACCTCGGCTTTAATCACGTCCACCTCGGCTGGGAGTTGGTCGATCCGGTCAAGCTTCTATTGACGGGTTTTGACTATTAGTTTCCCTGTCTAGATCGTCATCACTAACTTCAAAAATCTTTACCTGTTCCATCAGGTTGGCATGTTCTTTCTGAGTCGCGTCCAACTTGGCTCGAATGCCCTTGACTTCTCCTTCGCGTTGCTCGCTGAGAAGCTTATACATGTCCCTCTTCTCAGCAAGCTCTTTGACATCGACCTCAAGTTGGCTAAGCTCATCCTGGTACCGGAAAAAGGTATCGTGGTGAAGCACCGAGGCCTGCAAAATGAGGAAAGGAAAAGTATTAGAATCCTCAAAAATTGAGTCCGAATATAAAAGAGTATGATAACACCTTACCCAGTTCAGCACATGTTGCGCTTCGTTGAACAAGCATGGCGCATCCAGCTCATTCATTTTTGGCTGTCTTCTTCGGTTACCAGGCAGCACAGGTAACTAGCTATACCGACAGGGGCGAAGAGAACTCGGGCATCTTCGGAAATGGTGATAATAATTAATCTCTTTCGACCAGGATCCGTACTCGGGGCGAGGAACCGATCAATCAGCCTCAGGCTCGAGTTAGGCCCACCAACCTCCGAGGATGAACTTTTCTTCGGTACCTCTAAGTCAACCAACCCAGTGACGTCTTCCACGGCGATAGAGTCCACGCTGTCAAAAAAGCAGCGGAGGGGATCATCCGCTCCTTGAGCCCCCTGGTATGGTCATTCTTTCACCTTTCGAGCCTCGTTGAACATGGACTTGATAAATGAGGGCGACCCGGTAATATCTATCACACCGAGTCACTCCTTAAGGGCACTACCGGCATCTTGGGAAGTCTTGGCCTCGGCCTCCTCATCAACCTCCCTAGCCTAAGGGAGATCGCCTCATGGGTCTCTTGTTCAACGGCATCTTGGGAAGTCTTGGTCACGAGCTACAAAAGGCTTTTCCTCCTCGGACCCATCCCTAAGACGGTAGAGCAAGTCCGAATTTGGTGCTCGAAAGCTGGATCTCTCCTTTCGCTTACGAGCCAGTCTTCTTTTTGGTTTTTTCTTCACTGAGCTCGGGGAGCCTAGAGCTTTTCTTTTCTGCTTCCTCTCTACTGTTGACTCCCCAAGCTGCCCCAAAGTAGAGGAGTCAGCGGGAAATTCCTCGTCCCTAACGGAGGCCTAAGCTCGACTGTCTTAGGCAAACCTACAAAAATAAAATAGAGGAAATAAGAACGCAATGCTAGAAAAAGAAGCCCAATACGACTTGCTCGGGAAAGGAATCTTACCATGGGAATGGGCCTCCCAACGGCCTTTCAAGTGTTTGCACCATGAGTGCTCGGAGTAGGCATCTGTGACACAATACCCTCGACCCACTCCTTGAGCCGAGGAATAGCATTTGGAACTCGAGCAAGGGCTGCGCCACATAAAACACCGATAAGAAAATGGAAGATAAAACATAAAATTGACGCTTAAAGGGAGTTATACTTATGTGATACATTCCACTTCTCGGGGAACGGCCTCACTCGGCAGGTATCAGGTCGGCGGTCCTCACCCCTACAAAGCGTCCTTGCCAACCCCGATCCCGATCCTCATCGATGCTCGAAAATGGGGCTTGGCTGGCTCGATGTACAAGCTTTATCAGTCCCCCCATAAGACTCGGGGACTGTACAAGCGGAATAGATGATCGATGGTGAACGTGCACGCATCGATTTTGTTCACAACAAATCGGAGGAGGATCACGATCCTCTACAATGATGGGTGAATTTGGCTAAGGCATACATTATACCTCCTGTAGAAGTCTATGATGACCAGGCCCAATGTAAAGGGATAAGTTGAAACAATCAGATATCCCTCAACATGGGTGGTGACGGCCTCCTCGAAGTTAGGGACCACTATGTCCTTGTCGGCCCAGTTGCAATCTTTTCGGACCATGGGGAGGTCCTCTTCGGAGATTGAGCAAATGTATCTCGAGGCCTCCTCATTCCGACCCTGTACCGAAGAAGGCTTCTCAACCATGAAGTCATCGGTGGCCGAACAACCCCCCGGAATGAACATTTTCAAGGGGGTTCAGCGGCCGGTTCATCGGTAGCCACGTTAGCAGTAGACCTCTCAAGGTCAGCCACACCGAGAACGGTCTAATTAATTTCGGCAGTCAGTTGGGAAGTAGAAGCGCCCTTTTGGGGAACACATTTGGAGGTTTTTGCCATTGATGTCTGAAAAGGCTTGAAAAAGGTAGAGAAAGGGTTGAAAGTTGAAAGCTCAGATGTGTTAGTTTGGATAGAGAATGAGTGAAATCTTGCAATTTACTGAGGAATTTCGATCAACGAAGGTGAAATTACTAGAGTATAAGAAAAAGGGTAATGAAATCCTGAAAGTACGAGGGTAGAAGTTTGGATGTAAAGTAAAAAATGAACAAAGAAGGGAATATTTATAGGGGCTCCGCGATGTTTCAGTCCAGGCACAACCAACCGGTGGCTGACACGCAGTTGAAGTCATAATGACATGGCTGACGAGACGTTTCGGGTTTTCTGTCGTTTCTGTCACGGCGTATCAAAGAAGGAATTGAGGAACTCATGTCCTTTCTCGTCAACTTACTCTTCGAGAAATGAGGGGACTATTATATATGGGTAAAACCGAGCTCGTGGTATACCCTGGCTTCCGATATGATAAATCGAGCCTGAGACATGATGATAAGGGACGAGAATCGAGACTAGGGTCTAATCGAGTTAGAGCCGGAAGCATGTCACCCGCCCTCGAGAATATCAATCCTTAAAAGAATCATCAAGAAACCGAGCAGAACCAACAGAAGATCGTAATATCCGCGACCGGCCAGATATCATGGCGTGGATCTCGGCGCGTATCGATGGAGAACCGGTGATTGGTTAAACAGAAGATTTTTACCTTTTATAGAATTATACCTAGAGTAGGACTCCCCTACTATATAAAAGGGAGTCTGATTATTCATTAGGAACAAGGTAACACGCATTTCAAGGCAATATATTACTATTTTCTTTGTTCTTATTCTTGCTCATCGGTGCTAGTCTTTGTGAGCCCGGATCGGGGTGGATATCCCATCAAGGCTATAATCATCTTCATTGCAGGGTTTGAGTTTACTACATCTTTATTTAATTAATCTAACACAATTTATCGTTTGTATCGAATTAATCCGTGTATCCTTAAAACTACTTACAAATTTAATTGTTATCCGTTTATAAGAATAAAAAACCTCTATAAGACGTACAAATGATAGTTTATATTCTTGAGCTGATGTCATTGAATAGTATTGGGCAGAGAAGAAAACTAATGGTTTACCTAGGTTAGTACCATGCCTAATCTCAACTGGTGGATTGCAATCATCGAGAGAAGGTAATTTTTCTTGTATTGCTGCAGCAAACGAAGGTTTTGATATCTTTTCATTGCCCCTATTTTTATTACCTGGCAGAGTTCGATTGCATTGTATGTTGGTAGAGATTGGGTTCTGAGGCAAAGACTCCACAGTAGCATTTTAGGTTTGTGGAGTTGATTGCTAGTGTTTATTATTGACATCCGCTATGATTTTCGCCCGACGAAGAGGTCGATCAAAATTGGATGAGATTTTTCTATTGTGGAGGAATAGTGTAATAGCGGAGATGGCAGGTGGACTTTTGAGATCTGATTGGTATTAATTTTATCATCGGTGGCCATTCGTATGGTGATATTAGTGGTGGCTGCTTGGTTAGGTTGTATTTTACTAGCCGTTGCAGTGGTATTGTCAGCCGTTGTGGCGGTGTTAGTAGGTGAATGGGTGATTTAAGTAGAGATAGATAGATGAGGTGTTGAAGTTTCATTAGTTATGGCAGGTGGATCCGGTGGGACTGGAGGGGGATCATTAGTGTACATATTTGTTTACCCTCAAAATCGGATAACAATTGAATTTGTAAGTGGTTTAAGGATACGTGGATTAAATTGACACAAAGTGATAAATTAAGTTGTAATTGAAATAAACAATGATAAAGTAAACTCAAACCACATG